AATAAAAGGCTTGAATGACTGCAGCTATTTCCGAAGATTTAACAGCAAAATGCAGAAAACCGCAACATCATACCTTCTCTCGACAAAGCCGTTGCCCACCCTAATTCCACCTACTTAATATCAAATTGCAGTTCCTGTCACCCAACACCACTGTGTTAATTCAACCCTACAACCAGGGTGTTATTCAGGCGCTTAAAACGAAGTTTAGGAAAAAAACAGCTTCATCATAAAACCATCATGTAATCCCACAAAAGTATGTCTGGAACTGATTTCATGAAACGAGTAAATTTATTAGACATCGTATTCTACCTAACTTCTACCTGGAAGGAGGAGCAGAACTCAACCATCTCTGTTTATTAAATCGCGGTTTCCTTGTACTGAGAGAACAATGCAAACTTGACCTGAGACAAATGAGCAAATTGTACCTCCTACAAACGCAGTTGCTATGAATACTCTCTCAGAGGAATTGTTTGGATGCAAACTGGCTGACAGCCATCTGATTGCTTCTTATTTTCAAACAAGTCACACAACAAAAATAAACTGGGACCTGCCAACCACATCAATTTTAGCAGCTGAGGATGTGAATAATGAATCAGACTACCAGCAGGAACAGGATTCTACAAACGTTCTGAAAACCTATACATTCACAGACGCACAGGGTGAAGTTGATATTTCGCGCTCCTACGCAATACCTAGCGGACACACTGGCATGCTTACACATCTACTGAATGTGATGGAAAAAGTAAATTGCTTTCATTTCAATTGCCAAGCAACAGAATACTATAGTTAATATTTTTCATCTGGTGGATAATGATTATGACAATAGCAATGTGTGTATGATTTTTTGGAGGTTGTGGATTTCGACATTTTGCAGATCAATTTCTAAACTGTTGACTCAAAATCGGTGAGATTATCGCATTATTATTACTCATGTATCCCACATTATGCACAACTACTGAGATTGCAAATGACGGCGGCCTTGATATTACGTTCATGACAAACAACTTCGCTGGTGTTCTGCAATTAAAATCATCGTGAATTACCAGATTGCCATTTCTGACAACTAACTGTGTGAAGCGGGGTGCTCTGCAGTGTCAACAGTCGAAACCAAGCAATCAAATTAACTGGACCTAGGCAGCTCACTTCAAGTGTCATTGTCCCCTAATTTCCCCAGATGGAGCAGTCTCGTTTCAAAGGAGCACGCTCATGGTTTTCCGTAATTCGCTTGCTAGGGAATTAACGTATTGTATCACTTTATATTTTTTGGTGTAATTGGGGTTTATTTTCAGGAAGTGTTCAGTCCTATTAACTAAATTATGCACTCAAAACAATCTAAAATATAAACGTTTAACAAACACCTTCAGCGGGCTGGGTTACAATTAGCGAACGCCGACCCGTCCATGGCGATTCTATGTTGGGGTCACTGCCGTAGCGTGCACCGGCTCGCTATACCCCCATATTTCACGAGACTGGCTGCATGTATTGTAATTCCTTCGCCACAAAATAGTACATGTCCGCGTACTTGCGGAACAAGAAGGGAAGTAATATAGTTCACCGTTTAACATATCCTTTGAAAGGAAATTGCAAGGCTGCAATCAAACATCTATCACATGCCACCTTTATCGCCCCATTGGTGACTATATCAATCCACCCGGGAGCTGTCCTATGTACCTCGATCAGATTTGACTTGTGTGATTCGTATGGGAGCGAATTGTTTGGAATATGATTACCTTCTATCCCACATTCAACCTAGACCTGTGGATCCGTCACAAAAGTGCTATTTCATCGCATAAAGAAAGAAGTTACGTGTAGTGATTGATATCCAGTCTGATGCGGCGGACATCGTTCCGCTCTTTAGGTTACGGACAACTTGACTTCGAGGTCAAACGGTAACTTCTACTGCGCCTTCAACTATCCGACCAAACTAGCCTGAATACCCACCAAAACTAGGCAACCTATATGCGCCTCTTTTTTAAAGCACATTTTTAGTACCAAACCAATATTGTACACTGTTGTCCTGCGTGCATCAATTGCGCCCCAGCCTCTGACATCTCCTTTGCTCACTTACAAAATGGGTTTGCCTCCACTTCAGACTTATACTCAGTGCTCGGTGCGCACGCGTTTCCCTTCTCTCAGGGACTGTGCGCGCTCCGATGGATGTCTCACGCACCCCATTGTCCACTGATGGCGCGCGGCGCACTGTGCACCGGCTGAGCTCCGTTTAGTAAAGTCTCGATTGCCGTACATTTGAGTTGGAGCACGCTAGTCTCACCCAAATCTCACCGTTTTCCTACCCACATCCGAAAACGTGAGTATTCTGTGCGTAACTATGTTCAGTCTCTATGCTATACCGAATTCTATTGGCTGGTATCCTCTGCCCACGCAGTGCAACGTGGATGCAAATGCGATGATTATCGGACGATAGCGTCTGCACTAAGGAGGAAAGCTTCTGCACTAATAATGATAGGTTCTGCACTAGGGATGTAAGCGATTGCGTTAAAGATGTTAGCAAGCGAGATATGGTATAGATATTTTCCCGACCATCTTCCTTTTATCGCTTTTTTACATTACTATGTGTTATCTGTGTTGGATGCAGCTCTCGCCGACTTTAATGTTGCCTCTTAGATTTTGTCGGTCATAATGGTTGGAGCGTAGCGTGAGCAGTTCTTGTTTTCTATTAAGATTTCATTGCAGTAGCTTCCAATTCATATGGTCCTACCACACATCCGGAAAAACACCAGACGGACATTTTGTCTTATTGGAATTTGTCATGAGTCGGGTCTGTGACATCTAGACACTAGCGACTCGCACAACTGACCCTTAACTTGTGTCACTGGGCGACGAGTGATGGCGGAAGATCTTCATGGATTCCAAACATTGCTTGTTTGTTTGCTCAGTGAGAACACGAACGAGCAGGAATAGCATTCAGGGTTCTTTTCATAGGAAAATGATATCGTTTGTATGGCGTTATAGATATCGTGTGTGTGAACCAACATCAAACTTCCAGTCAATCAGACGGCACTTGCAATCGATTGGTTCCCAGCAGGCATGTTCGAACATGGGCGAACCTGAGTTGTGTTACATGAGTGTTATAATTTCCGTAATGTGCAAGTAAACCTTTTAAGCAGTGTCAATCTTGTCTCTCTAGCACTAAATAAGGGAGAGAACATAAAACACAAAACTATCCGGAGCATTGAAAGCATGAGACCAGACAATGTCAATGAGGACGGAGCAGATAAAAAAACCTATCGGGTGCACACAACAACAAGAAAGAAGGAGTGTTAGCGTCAGAGTGGAGCTGTGCTCCGCACACAAAAACAACGGCCATAAATAGCCAATTGGCTGCCGAAATGATGCGCTAAAGCGAATTCGGTGCATAAGCGTAACAAAACGAAAGCCCGTAGTTACGAATGTTTGTATAAGCATACCTGAATATTTATCGCTCCTCTATCACTCAGTCGAATGTTTTCTATGCTCTGGTTGGCTTTGACATCCGTGCAACTTTTAACCCCTTGGCTGGATTCACTCACCCAAATGCTGTGTATATAGCGCAATTTCCGCAAGCAGTTAATTCTATCCACTCTCGTCTGTATTCTTCTCACTACCGGAGTGGATTGAAGTCATTCACAAGGCTGACACAACAGACGTTGAACAATTCGATCACAGCATACATTGAGCTGGATGTGTAGTAGACTAACTCCATCTAGCGTTGGCATAGTACACTGTTGTCATTTCACTTCACTCACTGTCAGGTTGCCATGCTCAGTATGGTAGTAATCAGAGGAATTAAAACACAGAAGCCTTATGTTGAGCATTCTGGAACATTTCTGCATCAAATCGTCTCTTCACCTGAACCACGTTAAGTTCCGATCCTACAAGGTGAGTTATATGACCCATGGCGTGCCGGATGCTTCCAAAATGTTCAAACTGCGTTAGTTTCGAGTTCACTAGTTCTTGTACTAGGGTCATTCTATAAGCGCACAAGGTGTCTTCTCACATTAGCTGCCAATTGCTAAAACAACGGGTAAGGCACGTCCGCGAGTTACAGCAACTGGCCCGTCTTCTCCAGTGTACTAATAGTGGGATGCACGTTATACTGATCTGCTCAGCGTGCAAGTGGGCGCCTGCAGATCCCTCAAATGTGCAGTAACGGTCAGGAAAGGAGGAGCAATCGGTCCTGCTGCTACCGCTGCACAGCAACCAGATGAATTGTCTGTGAGCGCATTGGATAGCCCTCAGTTGTCTTTCAAGTTAAGCCACAACAATTCTCGGATACCTCAAAAACGGTAGAGTTGCCCATGTGAACTTCGACAAATAAAACTCAGAAACTGCAAACTGGAGAGCAGCGACTATTTGCACAGAATAAGTTCGATAGATGGGAAGCCCCAATAATTTTGTCAAACCGAGTCGAGTGAGCACACGCACATGCGTGTATCAAATAAGTATGTAAAGGTAACTCTAAACGGAATAGATCTCAAACGTGTGAGCTGGACTGCCTGATACCAACTGGTTCAGGCTCACTGGATTGACACACTAACGCTTCAATTATAGCTGTTACAATGAATAACTAGTCCAACAGACTATGGTGAGAGATATGCTACAGAAATACCTGCTCATAAATATCAATGGCCCATGCTCTGTTTTGGACTAATGACTGGTGGTATCTGTCGCTGAATAAGCCTACCGGTGGGGCTATGAGCAGACACAGAGCACTTCGCCTACAGAAATGCCTGTGCACTTTTCGTGCTGCATAGTACACGTTCCATACGGAAGCAAATCCATTAGGGGTTGCAAGTAAGAGTCCTCATTGCTTATTGATTACGTTACACTGCTTTCAGACACGCATCACCTCTTGGTGGTCTGTATCGTGCGACATTTCCTCAAGGGCATGAAAACCCTTTCACTGTGCATGCGACGTACGTGAGACCTCCTTCGTACATACTTCGATTCACTTGGTGATTTTTAGTTCAATCCCATCGTCGTTTTCATTTTTTGGACAGCTTTCGAGGGATGATCTCAAGCACGACACATTAACAAACGCTAGCGAAATCACTGAGGATGACCAACATTTGTCGAAGAGGCGACTGAGCGCAGGAGAACTGTCTTTGATCAAACGACAACGTGAGGATCGCCACTCAGCTCGGGATCCGCTAAAGAACCCAGTGTTACACGTAGTCGCGCTGCAACAATCCAGTTACTTCGATACCACAAAATTACCAACTCGAGACAAGAACGCGGTGGCAGCCGCTTTGACTGTGCTCAAGAAACGGCGACCACAACCGAAGCAGTCGCTAAACCCATTACCTCATGATGTGTCCAACGACGACTCTTCTCCCTCTACCCATCACACTTCTAGTGCCGACCAAGCGATAACAGGTCGGCCCATGCAACAAGAGAAGACACACGAATCGGTCAGGCTTGAGTGGTTGCAAGGACTGGCGAGCATTTCCCAACTTAGTGAGAGATCTCAAAAATCTGGGAAAGCAAGTAAGTGTGCACTGAGTATTGGCAACGCACGCAATTACACGTTGGAACTGAGGCCATTTTTGTTCGACTGAGCCGTGGGTGAGCTAGGGTTATCAGAACGCTTTATTCCCGGGAAAGCCTATGCATACGGTTGTTCACCTACCGCTTCTCATCGGTTTTCACATTGCTATTTGCCCTTTATTTAGGAATGATTAGGCTTCATTCTCATCTCTTTGTTTATTGATTTGCTTTTGTTCCAGAACACCATTCATCTGGTGAACCAGAAGGGAAACATCCTGTCTTTTGTGCTGAACAAGCGAAGTCTCAGACGCATGAATCGGATGCCACTAGTATTGAGGAAGAAGCCTATGCCGATGACTACGAGGTTGCAGCCAGCGAATGTTCCGCAGAACTAAATCCAACAGCAGTGGTCTCAGCCGCCGTGTCACCAGTCGTCTCTTCTCGTTACCACGACACACGTCCCCTTGGTCAGACCATTACTCTCGATAGTGACGATGATTCAAATGAGTTTGAGCGTCCCTGAATGCCCCAACTTTGTTGACTGTGTCGAACTCCGTTTGTAGTTTGCGATGCAAATAATCGATCTTTCTGTATCCCATGTATTCACCATCGATTGTACAACATTTCTCCATCAGTGGTGATCTTCAAATGCTGTGGTCGCATTATGGTGGATGTAAAACAACATGCGAATGGAATTACATCACGCGTTGCAACCTACATGGATATTATGGTCCTACATTTTCAACTACAGCTAGGTGTTGTGCCATATTGTCTCGCGTGACTAACTCCGTGCATGTTATATTTTCCATCTCACTGTTCTCTTTCTATCACCCATAGGAGTTCCGTCCAGGGGACACCTAAAGTGTCTGGATTCCACTATGCAGCCCGTTTCACATATATTGTTCCCTCGAATTGCCTCCATGTCCATCACTGTCTGGTCGGCGGATACGCAAATCCCGCCACATTTATTGTCATGGAATGATCCTAGCTAACGGATGCCTCTTATACTCGTCCATGATCAGTACTCTGGTGAAGGATCAACACCATCGTTGACTTGCATGCCATCGAGTTTCCGGTAATCGGACGGTAGTTCCTATGCACTTGTTAATTCTAGCTTGCTAGGAGCAGCATGCGCCGCTGTGCTCGGTTGTGCAATTCGTAAGTCTGTAAACAGGCGTACTTCCGTGGTAGCGTGTTAATTTTTTACATAAATCCCTAGTCATACAGTTTGTATTGTTGGTGAGTCCGAATTTGGTCAGCGTAAATGCCAATCCCCATGTGTTGCGACTCATCCTCGCTGTACGCGAAAAAACTGCACAGTCATATGGAAACAACAGTGTCCGAATGGGTGTTCTACGTACTACATTCCGGAGCGTCGGATGCTCTGCAACTCATCCTTTATCCAGTTTTCAAAGCGGTCAGCTTCTTCACATACATCGAATACATCAAGTACACTTAGTGGGATTATATAAGAAAAGAGCAGGCTATAGAACACTGTCTAGCTTCGCATCTATGACACCATCAAAGTTCTCCATTGCTTTTCCGCATTGCCGAGTCTTAGCCCGCCTAACAATGTGCACTTACTCAGTCAAACGAATATGCCTGCCGGGGCCTCTGCACTTGCCCAAAACAAGCCACAGCACCCCTGATGCACCGTGTCGAATGCCTTAATGAGGTGGACCAACGGTGAGTAATTACATCCGGTGGCTTCGGTCGCCTCACTACTGTTGCAGTAGACAAACAGCGAACGTCGTATTGATTATGGTGCATCCAGAGAGAAATTTGCATTGTTCACTGACCACGTTGAAATTCAGCAAGTGAGCAACTAGAAGGCTGAGCACGGTCGGGAATACCCGTTTCTCATCACAGTTTTACAAGTTGCTGCCACGGTAATCGTCTGCACCTCACTCGATCCCCTCACCCCTGTACAGTGATAGTACAGAAACACCCTTCAGTTCAGAGGGCACGTGTTTCAGCAAGCAGCACAGCAACTTGACCATTGATTGCTGTCTACTCTAAAGCCACTCCAGTGCCGTTCCACAGGTACTTGCAACTGCACCAGTTTGCAGTTGGTCAAGTGCTCCCCGCGCTTTATTTGGCCCCAGTCATGTCATTCACGTTACTGTTGCTGTCATTTCCGCACCTATGGTCACCTCCTAAGTCGACATACGACATAGCGTTGACTGAATACAGGAGCTAACATCAATAAGATTTTGTTAGATTACATCCTCCAGTTCTCTTCGCTTCTAAACATTGCGGAGAGAATGAACATTAAACTTCCCTGACACATGGCAGAATGGTGCATAAATTTAAGAAGGCGTTCATGCACCCCCTATGCACCGGTCGATTGGTTCCGCTGTTTGGATTGTAATCCACAGTTCGTCGGTTCGTGTCTGCGTGCGTGTGGAGACTTCGTGGGATTACTAGACCCCGGGCGACTGTCGGCGGCTGCTTCGCTGCGAAACTCCGGTACAACGTGTGGCACATTACCGATGCTTCAGATTGTAATTGGTTCCACACCCGGCAACCCGCGGCGCACGTGCGTGCACATTTCATTTTGTGTCGGCCCACGACTGCTGCCACCCACTAATGGAAGCTAGAACAGGAACGACTGGAAACAGCGTATGAATCTTTCTACATAAAAACGGCACTATTTATGACGTGTTAATGTAAAATCCCGCCAAAGCACTGAAGGTGCGCGACCTGATAATGCTACTAAGCATAGAACCACTAATGAGCCAATCGGATGTGCACAATGAGAGAGTGTTGACGTCAGAGTGAAGCTGTGATCCACAAGCAAAAACCAAACTACACTAAATATCCTGTGTGGCTAACGAAGTGATACGTTAGAACAAACGCCAATGATGGAGCACCGCAAAACAAAACCTGTAGTTATGAATATCTGCATAATCATATCTAAATTTGTATAACTCTTATAGCTACATAAAGTATATATTCTTTAGTCCCACATAGCTTTCACGATGAGAGTCAACTTGAAATGGCTGAGCAAATGCTCTTCCACTTTTTACTCCATTCGTTTTTTACTTCCTAGACGTTACAGTTAACATCAACAAGAGTGTATCAGTCATTTGAACTGATAATTCACTATCGTACAACCATAAGGACCTACAGAATGGCGAATAATAATAGGGAGAGAATGGGGACTTACCGGAAAACCTTAATGCCCTGAGCAAATGTTCAGGGTCAAGGCGCCTACACCTTGTCAACAACAAACCGTCACAAACAGCTGGCTATCGTACAAAGTTAAATCGGCATCATTAAAAGCGCTTCCTCGCGGCTTTCTCTGCCCCGCATCATAATCAATCACTATCTCGCAGCTAACTCAGGACTAAACATACATTAAACAGGCAGATCTAGCTAATGGCGACAGATACGCTTGTTCTCTGTAATCCTAGTAAACTGGTTTGGCTATCGCTGCCTAGTACTCGCCTACGCACATCATCGTTGCGGACAGGCGGGTGCCATCCGAAACCCGCAATGCTTCTATTATAATGTCTGACTGTAACACAACCCACTCCGAAGGGAAAGCAAGAACACACCGCGTTGGGACGAGCTGTGTTGAGAAACTGGCATTACTGAGCAACCGGGAATGTACAAAGATAAATATATCAATCAGCCAAGCACATGGAAGGACAGTCATGAATGATGAGCGGTCTAACTCTGAACGATTGTCATGCGTGTGTCCAACACAATCACATGACAGGACAGTCACGAATGTCAAACGATCTAGCTCTGAACGACTGCCAAGTGCGAGCCCGTCTAACGCCACCCTCCTTTAAACTGAATTGAATAACACGCTACGTTTGATTGGTATGCTTTACATCTTGGGTTCACATCGGGTCTCTGCACTGGCGCTCTGATTCGCGTTGAGTATTTTCGATCTGTACTTACCATATCTGTTTGGACGACAGGCTCTTCAGACGGGGTAATTTGATGCGTATCCAGGGAGATGTCCAACAGTAGTGACGCTTCCAGTCTTTGGAGCGTCCCTTGCCCTGCAAAACGGGGCTTAATATGGTTTCCATGTCTAGTCCATATGATGGAATCTACTTGTATTCTGTACAAAACACCTGAAATCCGTTCAATGGCACTACCAAGAACCCATGATGACCTTACGTCACGAAAATCCTTTACGTACATACTAACATCAGAAACGAAATGCCGGGGGCGTGTTCAACGATGGCAATTGCAAGTCAACTCCAGATTAACATTGCGCTCTCAATTGTGTAGCGATGGCTTCGAAGCATCAAGGACCGTTCTGACACACCTGCTGAGAAACGCTTCGGATGTGGATATGTTTTGTGGTACTGCTGGATCTGGCATCGTGCGGTAAGTATGCAAAACTTTGTCGACGATTTCCTGGATATTTCCCTCTCCATAGGTTTTAACCAATGTAGCTTAAACAAATCGACAAGACGTTCAGCTTGTCCGTTTGACTGTGCGCATCGTACGCTGGAGTGCGTGTGTGTTCGATGCAATGTGAGTTGCAAAAGACTGCAAATCCTTGAGGAATAAATTAGAAACCACAGTCGTCAGTGAACAGCAACATACGGATAGTTGTCTCACAGACTAGGGTTCTCGCACCGAAACGACGGATGAACAGCGACCAGCCGTCAATACGGTGCTCCACACGAACATCGTAAGCACAAGCCGAATCAAATGCACAGGACATCATTGCATGAAAATACATATTAAACAGGGCAGGATTCAACACACAGTCAAACTCCACACCAGGGACAACTTCAAAGTCATCCAAGGTCTCTCCACTCAGCTGCACCCTGAACCGCATACCATTGTGCAGACGTTCAATTAAACTTACAAAATTACGCGAGCAACCAAACTTACCCAACATCAGCCGCAATGCCTCGCGGTTCACCGTATCAAATGCCTTGGTGAAATCAACAAAAGCGAGTACAATGGCTGGTGTCGTTCTCTGCACTTCTCCTGCAACTGACGAGCCGCAAACACCATATCGATAGTGCTGTGACCAGAACGGAATCCACACTGCTCTTCCGCCACGTGAGGTTCCACAATCTGACTGACGAGGCAGTTGACCTGGATTCTGGCAAGCACTTTGCCTAGCCACCGTAGAAAGTTGATGCCACGATAATTCGTGCAAAATTGCTTGCTCCCTTCGCCATTGTACAGTGGTAGCACAAGCGCATCCTTCAGCTAATCAGGCACCTCCTCCTCAATCCATACGCGTTGCACCAAATGGTGCAGCGCAGTCACCAGTGCGGGTCCCCCGTGTTGCAGTACTTCAGGTAAGATCGCGTATGCCCCGACACACTTGCTGTTTCGCAGCTGAGCAGGTGTTCTCTGCTTCTCATCCAGTGTCGGCGTGTCCGCCAGATTCACCTGCACATCGTGCGGCTTCAGGCCGTTTAGAGTAGGCCAGTCAATATCTGAGCGGTTGTTCAAGAGACAGGCAAAGTGTTTTGGTTAGGTCTGCATTATGTTTGAAGTCAGTGTGCAGGTAGCGCCTGGGCTACCATCGATCAGCGTCCTTAGCTGCTCCAATCTCGGTCCATACACCGCCTTCAAGGAGTCAACGAATTCCTTGTATTGACGACTTTCGGGTTGCATTCCATCTGCTTCGCTTTCTTCGTCCACCATACATTTTTAATGCGACGGAGCTCTCGGGTCAGTCGCCGTCGAAGTTTGCGAAACTGACTCCTCTTCCCCAAGTC